TACATACACACATGTGTGCAACAGGGAGCTCTGGGTAAGTCAGGTGCCTACTCACCTGGGATGATCCACCAGTGCCCTGCCTGCTGCCTCCACTCCCTGTGGAACCTCCCCAGCACCGACCAGCAGTGTGCCCTCTGCGGCCACAGTTTGTGCAGGAAACGCCCCCCCCCCCCCCAGTCACCCTTAGAGCAGCACCTCCGAGCTCCATAGGGGTAGGGTCGGAGGTGCTGGGGGATGGACTGGACGGGCCCTGATCCGAACATCCGCGGGTGGCCAACAGGTTATCCAGCCATATCAATAGATCCACCAGCTGGTCGAGGGTAAGGGTGGTGTCCCTGCATGCCAGCTCCCGATAAACGTCCTCACGTAGACTACACCGGTAATGGTCAATCAAGGCCCTCTCATTCCATCCCGCGCTGGCCGCCAAAGTCCTGAAGTCCATTGCGAAGTCTTGTGCGCTCCTCTTCCCCTGTCTGAGGTGGAACAAGCGTTCCCCCGCCGCTCTCCCCTCAGGTGGATGATCGAAGACCGCCCGGAAGCTCCACCTGGAGCAGGAACCCCTGGCACCCGGCAGCCGTCCCATCATATGCCCTCGGGAGCGAGAGCCGAATCCCACTGGGTCCAGGTGACGGAGGGGTGGACATCGGTGTGGGTTGACCTGAAGTTGATGGGGTTGTGGGAAAAACCCCTCTCTCCCATCGCTCCATGGTCTGCAACACGCGATCCATAGCTGTGCCAAGATTCTGGAGCATCGTCGCATGCCGCTGGACACGCTCCTCCACTGGTACCGGAGTACTGGCTGCACCTGCTGACTCCATATTAGGTGCGTGTTTCTGTCATGTGTCAAATGTGCAGCGGTAGGACGGAGTCAGGCGCAGGACACAGAACTGAGTACACAACATACTATACTCGGAAAAACAAACACTAATTTCCACGCAGGGAAAACACACCAGCTCACAAAAGTGTATGACAGAACACAATGAACAAACACGCACAAAACCATGTGGGAACCAGAGGGTTAAATAGGGAAATAATCATAATGCAATGGGAACCAGGTGTGTACAAACAAGACAAAACAAATGGAAAACAGACACGTAGATCGGTGGCAGCTAGAAAGCCGGTGACGACGACCGCCGATAGTCACCCGCACAAGGAGAGGCACCAACTTCGGCGGAAGTCGTGACACCATGATGAACTGCATTGACCTCACCTGGGTGGTCAAACCAATCATAGCTTAGTATGATAGGACAGTAGTCTGTGACCAATGATAATTCAGTATTGTAGAGATCACCGCTATATGAGCCACGTTACAATTCCCACCAAGAGAGTTAATACGCTTGGCGTGATATGAAGGGTGTTTGCCTTTCACACCAGCGACCTGGGTTTGCTTCCCCCTCCCTCCATTTGCTACACTGGTTTCAGAAGTGGGATGGTGGTGGTGAGGCCATCAGAATGCAAGACCTTATGTGTCAAGGGTCTTGAAAGAAAATCCAAGCACAGGGACGTGCCTTCCCGTTCTGAGGGGGCAGTTTAGCGACCCTCTCTATACAATATGAGCCACGTTACAATTCCCACTAAGAATTGAATGGGGAGGGTGTTGTGGTAGTACTCCACAGGTGATGTTCATCTGAGAAATATAAATGATTATAAAGAACATTAGCAAATGTAGGCTATCTAATGGGGAGCAGTTTTTCCACGTGCATTTTCCATTAAGATGAATATTGCCACATCAAAACCAGCTGAGGCACCATTAAATTCCTAGTTAGATTATTTTCTCTATGCGCTTGCCAAGCACCAAGCCTAAAACTACACATCTAGACAAAGGCTGATTTTATCACTAATAGGCCTAGGCCCAGTATTATTTCCTTTAATTCGAAGTCCTGCATTTGGTTATTTATTAAAATAAACTTGCATCATCATGTTCTTGTATGTGAACAATATGTTTATCATTTGTTCCGTCCCATAGCCTACAATAAGTGTAGATATTAATTGGCCTCTACAGTTCAGCGGAATAGGCTAAAACAATTATCAGCCAACTATGCACAACTTTGATCTCGACCTATAACCTTGGTTATAAGAAACCACTTGCAGGGCCCGATGGGGTGAACATTAGGCGTTTGGAGAGCGAGAACAAATCACTGTGTACACCTTTTCCACTAACGGCTACGGTCAACACTACACAGACCGATCCTCCTGAGAACAGGACTCCTCTCTTTCAACCGGACACATAAAGGAACATTTCTTGAATCATCATTTTCTGTGAAATCTAAACAGTACTGAAATCATTTTTGCTTTTCCATTCTTATTTTTTAGGTGGTAAAGTCTGTCATCGTCCTGTTTTTCAGGATCGACCCCTTGGTGAGACAGACCAACCGACCAACTATAAACTGTCCACCTCGGCCTTTGTCGTGTAAGGATCAGTACACACCTTCCAGCCAATAAAACGCCGAGTAGGCGAAACAAAAGCGCGAGCAGTGCCCGCCTAGCGGAGCAGTAGTGATTGGAGAAGTTTTCAGCACCAAGGACCAGAGAACAACGACAGTCCCAGGCGCGCGCGACAGTACTAGAGCCATGGAGCCATCCACTGAACCGGCTGATTTCGAGCTGTACTCGGTGATTCCGCCTAATGTCACCTACCCGGACGACGAGATGGGGTTCGTGCCCAACGGGGGAAACTACACCCAGCAGTTCCCGTTTCAGAGCGCCTCCAATATTATAGTAGCCATCTCCATCACCGCGCTCTACTCCGTTATCTGCGTGGTGGGATTGCTCGGGAATATCCTTGTGATGTACGGGGTGGTGAGGTAAGGGCTTTCTACTGGAACCACCGGTGGAAAATTCTACTTAGCCTACTATCATTGGTGACAACTTACTTTTGAGATTGTATGCCTATTATTTTCTGTAAGAAAGCTTGTGAATGCATATCAACAAAAAAGTTTGAGGCTATAAAGGAATTGTGTATTTCGTATGGAAATTCAGTTTTTTATAGCACAATATTTCATGTGCGCCTCTCAATGTTAACTAAGCATACCGTTGATTTGCCAAATGCAGTATGAAAATGTATGCACTCACTAACTGTAAGTCGCTCTGGATAAGAGCGTCTGCTAAATGACTTACATGTAAAATGTACTCGCGCTAGAGCACCAGAGGAAAGAGAGAGTCTGGTGGAGTGTGTGTGCGTGCTTCGGACTCGCTTTCATATTTCACATGCAGTCGTCCTCAGTTCAGCCCGATTCCACAGTGCACGCGCGCGAACACACACACACACAGCATATGGCTAGAGAGCTGGGCCAGGTCAAGCAGGGAGTCTCTTTTACCGCCATCTCTAACTGGTAAATATGACGCTTTCTTTCGTTTGATTTGGTTTGAAGTGAAAGGATTATACTGAAAATACTCCTCAAATTGGGCTAGCTTTCAGACATTAATTAAGAACAACAGGATTGAAATTCCAATTACTGCCATTATTATTGGCTATTCCCAATCTGCACCCTCCCTTAATTTAAATAGTATTGATGTCAGTGATGGGGTTATTGTTAAAGTTGACATTACCATGCTGAGTGTATCTTTAAGGAAAATAATTATGCCCACATCACTCAAATTGAACCCCCCCCCACCCACCCACCCTCATGACCAAACTTGGAGGACTGAACCCTCGCAGTGTGTACTAAACTGAACCTTAGCAGTGTACTAAACTGAACCCTAGCAGTGTACTAAACTGTCTGGCATTATAAGACAGTGAGTGTCTAGTCTAGTAAACTGGATGTCCAGTCTAATGCACTTACTTCCTCTGATGTCCACTAATAGCTTTATTGCCCACTGCAGTCAGACATTATAAAACAGTGTCCAGTCTAGTAGCTCTGAATCCACTAATAGCTTTAGGGTTGTGGTCAATTCTGAATTTTTGAATTTAATTAAATTCAAACAATGAATTTGAATTAAGTTTGAATTGACCACACCCCACAGGAAGCAGAATTTGAATTGAAGGAAGTAGAATTGGATTAAAACAAATTAAAACCAATTCAACTGAGATGTGAAACATGAAAGTCTCATTCATTTGAAAAATATTTTATCAAAAGGTTATGCCACTTATTAATGCAAAGAATAGACATAGCATTTCAAATATTACTTTGATTATAACTCAAAGATGTCAAACAGTATTTTTCTTTGCCATGAGATTTTAGATTGTTCCCTTCCATACTTCAGTGTTTGATCTAATGCATTCTGGGATTTTTTATTTCTTTCTGATATTTAGAACATTAAGGGAATTATGGATAATTATAGACAACCCACAACACGATCGTAGAATATTTCCAGACCACTATAATTATTTACAATTATTTTATGAGAATGAGTTTTGAAAATGAAATGTTTCAACCTTATGCTATATGGTATTGTAATCATACATGATTTTACATTTACATTTCAGTCCAGAGCGACTTACAGGAGCAATTAGGGTTAAGTGCCTTGCTCAAGGGCACACCGACCTTTCGGTTACTGGCCCAACGCTCTTAACCGCTAGGCTACCTGGCGTCCCTATTTAGCCTCAACTTCGCAATAAAACACACAGGGTTGACATACTCATCTAGATTAAATTAAGATAAAAATCTAATTTGTACTCTTGTTGTTTACAAAATGTATCTTTCAAATTCCTACATCACCCTATGACTTCTCCCTATCACTATATTACAGAATTGGGGTCAATTCTGAATTAAAATGCTGATTGCTCTTTATTTCCAATTCAATTCATGAAATTGAATTGAATTTGAATTGGACACACACAACAGGAAGCAGAATTTGAATAGAATTTGAATGAAATTAAGTGGAATTGAATTCAAAGAAATTCATAGAAATTCAAATGGCTTATTTATTCTACTCATCACCATAAAAAACAATATTTTCACATCATGAAGAGTTGGTTCACCGTTTACAGTTTACGCCCTGGCTCTCCCGGCATTATTATCATCAATTGAACATTGAAAATCATAGCAGGACCAGGATCAATGGCCTTCCGGAAGGCCTTGAAAAGGACAGCAATCATCAGAACCAGGGCGGCCGCTGCTGTTCTGGACCAATCACAACTGTCAGAATACAGAAAGACAGAATAAATGGGCATGGGCTGGCGTATGTAGCAGCCGAGGGGGAGTTACAGCTCTCCACCCTGCAAGACACTGAGGAGTTTGACGTCCTTGTCGTAAGGGGACTGTCCACGGGCTCCGGTTGTGCCTTAGACGCTGTCACATTTCAACCACTCCACAAACTATAGTTTTGGCAAGTCGGTTAGGACATCTACTTTGTGATTACAGACAGATTATTTCACTTATAATTCACTGTATCACAATTCCAGTGGGTCTAACTGTAAGTCGCTCTGGATAAGAGCGTCTGCTAAATGACTAAAAATGTAAATGTAAATGTCAGAAGTTTACATACACAAGTTGACTGTGCCTTTAAACAGCTTGGAAAATTCCAGAAAATGATGTCATGGCTTTAGAAGCTTCTGATAGGCTAATCGACATCATTTGAGTCAATTGGAGGTGTACCTGTGGATGTATTTCAAGGCTCTTTGCTTGCCAGGCTTGTCGCCTGAAGGTACCACGTTCATCTGTACAAACAATAGTACGCAAGTATAAACACCATGGGACCACACAGCCGTCATACCGCTCAGGAAGGAGACGTGTTCTGTCTCCTAGAGATGAACGTACTTTGGTGCGAAAAGTGCAAATCAATCCCAGAACAACAGCAAAGGACCTTGTGAAGATGCTGGAGGAAACAGGTACAAAAGTATCTATATCTACAGTAAAAGGAGTCCTATATCGACATAACCTGAAAGGCCGCTCAGCAAGGAAGAAGCCACTGCTCCAAAACCGCCATAGAACAGCCAGACTACGGTTTGCAACTGCACATGGGGACAAAGATCGTACTTTTTGGCAAAATGTCCTCTGGTCTGATGAAACAAAAATAGAACTGTTTGGCCGTAATGACCATTGTTGTGTTTGGAGGAAAAAGGGGACAGCTTGCAAGCCGAAGAACACCATCCCAACCGTGAAGCACGGGGGTGGCAGCATCATGCTGTGGGGGTGCTTTGCTGCAGGAGGTACTGGTGCACTTCACAAAATAGATGGCATCATGAGGAAGGTAAATTATGTGGATATATTGAAGCAACATCTCAAGACATCAGTCAGGAAGTTAAAGCTTGGTCGCAAATGGGTCTTCCAAATGGACAATGACCTCAAGAATACTTCCAAAGTTGTGGCAAAATGGCTTAAGGACAACAAAGTCAAGGTATTGGAGTGGCCATCACAAAGCCCTGACCTCAAACCTATAGAAAATGTGTGGGCAGAACTGAAAATGCGTGTGCGAGCAAGGAGGCCTACAAACCTGACTCAGTTACACCAGCTCTGTCAGGAGGAATGGGCCAAAATTCACTCAACTTATTGTGGGAAGCTTGTGGAAGGCTACCCGAACCATTTGACCCAAGTTAAACAATTTAAAGGAAATGCTACCAAATACTAATTGAGTGTATGTAAACTTCTGACCCACTGGGAATGTGCTGAAATAAATAAAAGCTGAAATAAATCATTCTCTCTACTATTATTCTGACATTTCACATTCTTAAAATTAAGTGGTGATCCTAACTGACCTAAGACAGGGAATTTTTACTAGGATTAAATGTCATGAATTGTGAAAAACTGAGTTTAAATGTATTTGGCTAAGGTGTATGTAATCTTCCGACTTCAACTGTATGTATAGTTGTTCAGTGGAGCTTGACGGTAAGAGCCAGTAGGCTACCATCAGTACGAACCCTCCTCTCTGGTTGTCAGGAAAAATATACATCTAATGGCCTCTTCTGATGTCTTCTGTCAGATCATGAAAGGGGTTTTCATGACAATGGACATTAGTTGGTTTCTCCCAAAGCCATATATTAAGAGAACGGACACCATGTTTATAATGCATGCCCAATACATTGCGCCTTTATTCGCAACAACCACTTTAATGCCTTCTGCATTCTGCATTCTTCTTCTTCTTCTAAAGTGTTTGTTTGCACATTACCTGCCATTACCATTACAACTACCCCAAAATGTAAGGAGAGAGAGAAAAAAGAGAGAGAGAGAGAGGCAGTGGCAGAAACAGAGAGAAGGGAGAGAGAGAATGAGGAAGAGAGAAAAAAACAGAGAGACAGACAGAGATACAGACAGAAATACAGACAGACAGACAGACAGACAGACAGACAGACAGACAGACAGACAGACAGACAGACAGACAGACAGACAGACAGACAGACAGACAGACAGAGAGAGAGACAGACAGACAAAGAGAGAGAGAGTGGGTGTGCGAGAGAGAGAGAAACGGAGAGAGTCAGAGATAGAGAGAAAGCAGTAGAGAGAGAGAGAGAAACAAGAGAGACAAGGCAAGAAGGGCCTTCTATGCCATCAAAAGGAACATATAATTTGACATACCAATTAGGATCTGGCTAAAAATACTTGAATCAGTTATAGAACCCATTGCCCTTTATGGTTCTGAGGTCTGGGGTCCGCTCACCAACCAAGAATTCACAAAATGGGACAAACACCAAATTGAGACTCTGCATGCAGAATTCTGCAAAAACATCCTCCGTGTACAACGTAAAACACCAAATAATGCATGCAGAGCAGAATTAGGTCAATACCCGCTAATTATCAAAATCCAGAAAAGAGACGTTAAATTCTATAACCACTTAAAAGGAAGCGATTCCCAAACCTTCCATAACAAAGCCATCACCTACAGAGAGATGAACTTGGAGAAGAGTCCCCTAAGTAAGCTTGTCCTGGGCCTCTGTTCACAAACACAAACAGACCCCACACAGCCCCAGGACAACAACAACAACAACAACAACAACAACAACACAATTAGACCCAACCAAATCATGAGAAAACAAAAAGAGAATTACTTGACACATTGGAAAGAACAAACAAAAAAACTGAGCAAACTAGAATGCTATTTGGCCCTAAACAGAGAGTACACAGTGGCAGAATACCTGACCACTGTGACTGACCCAAACTTAAGGAAAGCTTTGACTATGTACAGACTCAGTGACCATAGCCTTGCTATTGAGAAAGGCCGCCGTAGGCAGACCAAGAGAAGACAGGCTATGTGCACACTGCCCACGAAATGAGGTGGAAACTGAGCTGCACTTCCTAACCTCCTGCCAAATGTATGACCATATTAGAGACACATATTTCCCTCAGATTACAGCGATCCACAAAGAATTCGAAAACAAACCCAATTTTGATAAACTCCCTTATCTACTGGGTGAAAAACCACAGTGTGCCATCACAGCTGCAAGATTTGTGACCTGTTGCCACAAGATAAGGGCAACCAGTGAAGAACAAACACCATTGTAAATACAACCCATATTTATGTTTATTTATTTTCCCATTTGTACTTGAACTATTTGCACATTGTTACAACACTGTATATATACATAATATGACATTTGAAATGTCTTTATTCTTTTGAAACTTCTGAGTGTAATGTTTACTGTTAATATTTATTGTTTATTTCACTTTTGTTTACTATCTACTTCCCTTGCTTTGGCAATGTTAACACACGTTTCCCATGCCAATAAAGCCCTTAAATTGAAATTGAAATTGAATTGAAACAGAGAGAGAGAGAGAGAGAGAGAGAGAGAAAGCGGTAGAGAGAGAGAGAAACAGACAGATTTAGTATTTTAGTAGTTTATTAGGATCCCCATTAGCTGTTACTGAATTAGCAGCTACCCTTCCTGGGGTCCACACACAACATAAAGCAGGACATAATACAGGTCCTCTGTAGCTCAGCTGGTAGAGCACGGCGCTTGTAACGCCAAGGTAGTGGGTTCGATCCCCGGGACCACCCATACACAAAAATGTATGCACGCACGACTGTAAGTCGCTTTGGATAAAAGCGTCTGCTAAATGGCATATTATTAATAGACAAGAATAGCTCAAGGACTGAACAACACACATTTAGGCCTCCTTTAGCTCAGTTGGTAGAGCATGGCACTTGCAACGCCAGGATTGTGGGTTCGATTCCCACAGGGGGCCAGTATGAAAAATGTATGCACTCACTAAACTGTAAGTCGCTCTGGATAAGAGCGTCTGCTAAATGACTAAAATTTTAAAACATTTAAATAGATATTGAGAGATGGAGTGTGGAGAAAGCGGTGGCGTTGTTGGGTTCTATGTGTTCTAATTCTCTGGAACACAGGAAATAAAACATTACTAGTGGAGTAAAATGAATGTGTTAGCCACCACAGTCAGTTGCTATTGTTCATTCACTGTGAATCATGATTTGCATTGGATATCCGTTTTGAAAACACAGTACAGTGTGTAATTAAGCTATTTACGAGCCATCTACAGTATATCCCCTCCCTCCATTCTAGAGAGCTGTTGACTGTATCCAATTTGGCTTTCCAGGCAGGCTAAATCACACACTCAATGTATTTGAAAGAAAACTAATACTATTTGAACCCAGGTATAGCCTGCTCCAGAGTGAGAGCTGCCTGGTGTAGATATGAAGGTTATGTTCTAGTATCCATACTAGCATCACTTATAATGCATGCCCAATACATTGCTTCATTCTGAGTGGTATGCTAGAGTGGATATAGGAACAGAGCCGAAGAAGAGTCCTCTGTGATTACTGACTAAGGGGACTGAGGGGAGAGCTGAGAGCTGGAGCTGACACCACCACTGCTGTGGATCATCCCTCTGTAACACAGCCCAGGTCAGCAGCACTCCTCTCTGCTTGACAGCCAGCCATCCAAGTCACACACACACACAGACACACACAGACACACACACACACACAGAAGCAGTATGAGTGTAGAGATGATTGTACCCAATGTACTATGCTATGACCTACATCTAAATGTTATGAATGTGTGGGTGTGCAGTTGATAAAATTGCTTCTTTGAGTCGTGTAGCTGGTGTACTAGGTGGTGTGCTTGGTTTAACCATACATAGAGCTGTCTCAGGGGGAAAGCGCTCTCCAAAACTGGGGAGAATCATCCCATAAGCTTTAGTAAGATTACTTTCAAACTCCGGTATATACCGTAAATTGACATTAACTCTGATTAGGTTGAAATCCTTTTCTTTGGATACATACAGCAGGGTTTACTCAAACACACAAAGAGCATCAATTCCAGCCTGAAATATTGTACACAGTGGAGTGGAAGCTTTAGTAGGGTGTTTTTTAGGATGGGTGTGAGTCAACACCAGCTACCGTGTCTCGCTGCATGTCTCCTCTCTTACTCGGCAGTGTGTGTGTGTGTGTGTGTGTTCTACTTCTGGCCCGACAGCTTGAAGAACACAGCGAGAGCTCTGGGATGAGTAGTGTGTGTTTGGTCAGGAAAGCGGTGGGAAGCGATGAGGGGTAGAGGGCACTGCCGCAGAGTACAGAGAAAACAGTGGGGGAGAAATGAAGACAGATCAGACTTCCTGCTGCAAATACAAATTGTTACACCTTTCCCATATTCAAGTCATTTGAAACATATTCAAGTTATTAGCCTTATGAACATAGAAACTTGGTTGCAGTTTCTGTGCCACAACTGTTCAATTGTTTAAATACATCTTTACTGGTAATCAGAATGTGTTGTTAGGTGTGAAGTTATATGGCTACAATTTGATTAATGTTTGAAGTGTGATTTTTATGCTTGCTTACATAATGTCTATTTGTTTGGCCACCACTCAGATTGTATTTTGGCCCACCAAGCCCCTGGTCTAAATGCTAATGTCTCCAATTCATAGTAAACTGGCTGAATGAAACACCCTCACAACAGAGTGAGTACTCACAGAGGCTGTCTACAAGCAGTGTGACTAACTGGGGTTCCAGTCTGCGTCTCCCATGCGGCACACAACTCTGTTAGCCCTCTGAGCTAAAGCCTAGGTAATAAGTCATAAAGCAAACACAACTCTTCATGTCTGAGGCAAGGTTAGCTATCAAGCAAGCATGGTTCACTAAACCACTTCCGTTACAGCAGCAAGATATATTTTCATGTTGTTCTGCCTTTTAAACTAGCTGAAAGATATACACTGTGGACTGGAGCCCAGCGAACATGGTCAATATTGGACTGAGTAATTAGCTTGTGGTGACAGACTATGATCAATGGCTCTGGGTGTATGTGCCCAACTTACAAATTATGCCTGTGGTCCGATGAAGCTGTGATCAATAAGACAATAATCAATATTCACAAGTGTCTGGAGAAGGAAGCATTCCATCTCCATCCTGTTTGTCCTGGAACCAAGGCCACTGACTGACATTTTTTAAATGACCCTCTGTTCCCTGCAGCAGTGAATCGAACAAACACAAAGCACACATGCACACACACACACACGCACACACATACACACACACACACACACACACACACACACACACACAACTTTATGTAGCCTGCAGCAGTGATTCTAACAAGGATCTGCCTCCTCCATATGTTGGTTACCCTCTATTTATTGTATATTTTAATTTTTGATTTTTCTTCCAAAAATAATAAATTGGGTATTATAAGAAATGTTATATTACTTTTCACAATGCAAATTGTTTATAATAATAATAATAATAATAATAATAATAATAATAATAATAGCCCTTTCATCTGTTACATTCACTGATAAAATGTACTCAAAATTTGTCAGCCAAGATATTTCATGTTGAAAATGTCATGACTCTGCGAATGGTGGTCCTCAAGAGGTTTTGATGGTGATTTGGAGGTTGTGAACCGCTGCTCTAGGGACACAGCAATGACAGCTACACAGCTACAATCCCCAATTAGACAGGGGTCTATGATGCTATCACAGTTCATGTTTCTCGTTTTGAACAGCATGATTAAACATGACGTTGGAACAAATATCCCACTGTTTTTTTTTCAAGCTTCCAACAAGGAGGATGGACATACAAAACCACCCCTATGAACTTGTGGCATTAGCTAACTACTACAGGTCCAGAACCAGTTAAACGGATGGCATGAACAGAGTGGGCAACGTGGGCAAATATCAAAGCTCATCTTCTCCCCCCTCTTCTATGACTAATGAATGCACAGCTGTCATCCTCAGTGGGAAATGGAACATAGCATGTTGTGGTGAAACCTGCCTTGATGCTGTCACCTGCTGAGAAGATCCTTCAGGTTGGCAGCTGCACCCCCGAAAAAATAGCAGGGAGGGACAGCCTATCCTAGCAAGTTCCCTGAACCGACTGTACCGTACAGTGCTGTACAGAACACTGTATCCTGCCAGTATGTGTCTGGTCACTGGTGTGTTCTCAGCTCCTGTGTGTGTGACACCGTGCATATGACATCATCTTCCCCCACCACCCACCCGCCTCTTCTCCCTTTCTCTAGCCACTTCATCAACATCCACCCACACCAACAGAGCCCAGAGGCCACCCACTCCATGCGTCTCTCGTCGCATCTCTGTCTCTCTGTGTGTGTGTGTGTGTGTGTGTGTGTGTGTGTGTGTGTGTGTGTGTGTGTGTGTAAGAGTGTGTGTCTATGTGTGTGTGTGCATCATGTGTAAGCCCTGGCTCCTGTAACATTGGCTCAAGGCAGATGGGAGTGGGCCATGGTTTGAACAGGAAAGACAAGAAGGGACTTGGACCCAGCTTGGGTCTTGGTTGTGGAGGAGAGGTGTGTGTGCATGTGCATGTGTGTGTGGAGGGTGTAGAGAAGGAGTGTAGTCCCGACTACGTCAGCTCAGATCAGGGCTGGCGATGATGATTCTACATATGCAGAGAGCAAATCCATCCAAGGGGTATAACAACTGCCTCTGATTCACTGTTGTTTTATGAATACGAAAAATATGAGAATGAATATGTAATGTCTAATTCTCTCCTGCTGACAGTGGAGCTAGGAGGCACAGACGGCTTCATAGATGAAGTTATGCTGAATCAAAGGGTTCTAACAGACGGATTCATAGATGAAGTTATGCTGAATCAAAGGGTTCTAACAGACGGATTCATAGATGAAGTTATGCTGAATCAAAGGGTTCTAACAGACGGATTCATAGATGAAGTTATGCTGAATCAAAGGGTTCTAACAGACGGATTAATAGATGAAGTTATGCTGAATCAAAGGGTTCTAACAGACGGATTCATAGATGAAGTTATGCTGAATCAAAGGGTTCTAACAGACGGATTCATAGATGAAGTTATGCTGAATCAAAGGGTTCTAACAGATGGATTCATAGATGAAGTTATGCTGAATCAAAGGGTTCTAACAGACGGATTCATAGATGAAGTTATGCTGAATCAAAGGGTTCTAACAGACGGATTCATAGATGGAGTTATGCTGAATCAAAGGGTTCTAACAGACGGATTCATAGATGGAGTTATGCTGAATCAAAGGGTTCTAACAGACGGATTCATAGATGGAGTTATGCTGAATCAAAGGGTTCTAACAGACAAGAACAATAAAACTGTCTGTATCCTGTTATATTCTGCCTCAGAATACATCTGAGCACCGGAAACTCCAGGCAATAGTTTTACTCTGGCTCTGGCTCCCCAATACGTGTGACTAGGGCTGTTACGGTGACCGTATTACCGCCACACCGGCAGTCATGAGTCATGACCGCAGTCAAAATGACCGTTTTGTCATTGTAACTAGCCTTTTCCAAGCTCTGATGCTGCTGATGGCCATTAGTAGCCTACCAAACATGCTAACTTGACTTAATGAGAATCCATGAGCTCATGTTGCGCAACATTTCTATAGGCTATGCAATTGCGTGAGAAAACAGAGTTTTGATGGCCTCTATTAAAAGAAGGCGGATCCCATCACCTTTCTATAGGCTAGGCCTACTATATTTATTTCTCAACTTTCCTAATATTAAGCACATTGCTTCGCTTTACAACAGGAGAATAGCATACTGGCATGAAAATGAACCACGGGAAAAGCGTCCTCCATTCTCTATTTAAGTGCATAGATGACATGTATTTCTTTCCCCTGCCCCTGTTTTGAGACAGGTGATAATGGTCCATTCTAAATCAAAACTAATTTCACACATATATTATTTAGTATAAAGACAAGATTATATTAACAATAGTCTGATGGGTGACAATATTAGCCTTTCACTTGTGAATGATGCCCAGCGTGTGCAGTAAGGCAAGAAACAGCTCAAGCCTTTTTTTTTTCTCGACTTTTTCAAATAATAGTCACACACCTCATGTAGCCTCTCCCATAGGCCTATATGTTGATAAGGTTTGTATCACAACTAAAGTGGCCAAATAACTTCTTAAAATGAAGCACATTCATCCGCTTTACAACCTAACTGGAGGCGCGTGAGTTTCAAGTTTCGGGAAGATCATTTTCACCATATAAATGCACCTTTATAATAATGGATTACATGCATAATCACATTTACGTTCACTTTTGAGAATGGTGTTTTGCCGTAAATGCATTTTGGAACATTCACGCTTATAGCCTACTTCCGTGTGCATATTGCTGCGCTTATAATGTGAAGAAATAGCCTAATAGTTCTGATCTGTTGCATCAGCCTCATTGCTTTTAAAAGGTTTTTTGATGCGAGTGGTTGTATTAATTTGGGATCTATCGCATCCCACAACTGTCCCAGAGTATGTATGGAATATTTATTTCTCGCACAGAAGGACAAGTTGACCAATAGAATAGGTAAACTTTTGTACTATAGGGGATAGTAGATTGACATAGGCTAGTGCATTTGCTGTTTGTTAGGCCTACTCATCTTGTTGGCTGACGAAAAGTAAATGTGGACAGTTCTTCTAACATCTTCAATATGCGCCTCGGAATTTGATAAGAAGGACACGCGCAGTTGCGTCCCCGATGTGTCTGTCTTCACTTGTAGCCTACTTCGGAGCTGAGATACCTGTGAGAAGGACCCGATCACGTGACGGGCATTGGCTAATAAGAATTGAGATATCTGAGAGAGCCATGAGAGTGAGAGGTGCTTTGGAGCACTGCGATTGGCAGCCGGGAGAAGGGAATTCTAAATATTATTCAGCCCAAGGGCACAACGTCCACTTTGGCCGCAAAAGGCATGGATTGTTTTAGGGGGCATTACGGCCACACAAGGGGAATGCCGCCGGGAAATTTGAGGCCTGGTGAGAATATTATCAAGTGCTTGTCAAATTGTGAATGAGAGACTGATGAAGTGTGTGCAGCCAGTGCAAGAAACAAAGCAGAGCTCATGCCTTTCATGCAACTTTTTTCAAATCGTCATTGGAGTCGTATCATGCAGCCTTAGAATGTATAAAAAATCTAAACATATAGCTTAATCACAACTAAAGTTGCATAAATAACTCTAAATTAAGCATATAAGAGGACCTGTTATCTTTAACTCTGCATTGTTGGAAAAGGACCCGTAAATAAGCATTTCACTGTTAATCTACACCTGTTGTTTACGAAGCGTTTGTATTTGATTTTACACCCTAGGGAGGCGGGTCTCCCATGATTGGCAGGTCTTTCAGCCATCCATCATGCTTATACAACAGATTGTCCTCCACCTGATCAATAGAAATATGTTATTATGTCTCAGGGAACTGAGATGATATGTATGCAATAGGCCATTTTGATCGTCTCAGTTCATCACTCCCTGATATTAGGCAGAATAAGGACAGCGAGGAGACTTTTGTGTCCAAGAGGAGCACAACAAAATATAAATCCACCCCAGCTGAGAGCTCAGAGCTCTGTGTCTTACCATACTCAGTGGTGTAAACTACTTAAGTAAAAATACTTTGAAGTACTACTTAAGTAGTTTTTTGGGGTATCTGTACTTTACTTCACTATTTATATTTTTGACAACTTTTACTTTTACTTCACTACATTCCTAAAGAAAATAATGTACTTTTTACTCCATACATTTCCCCTGACACCCACAAGTACTCGTTATATTTTGAATGCTTAGCAGGACAGGAAAATTGTCCAATTCATGCATATACTTAAGTATATTTTTGCAATAAAATTGACTTTTGATACTTAAGTATATTTAAAACCAAATACTTTTAGAATTTTACTCAAGTAGTAGTTTACTGGGTGACTTTCACTTTTACTTTAGTAATTTTCTATTAAGAAATCTTTACTTTTACTCAAGGATGACTATTGAATACTTTTTCCACCACTGACCATACTACACCTTGATTAGTTCCCTAACTACAGAGAGAATCCATTACTGAAAGGAGGACATTTATCAAATTCCAACTCCAAAACCAATTGTGATTAATCGCAATCCTCCCCTGATCGAGATCGAGGTCTAGAGCCTCCAGTTGTCTGGTAATTAGATGTGTGTGTCTATGTGTGCATTTGCGTGCGTCTGTGTTTCTTGATGAGATGTATTTTGACCGAAATGAATAGCAGGTAAAGTGCAGAGTCAGTAGGGTTTAACACTCCTATTGGAGCCGTAGGAGCAGAAGAGAAATCACCAGCAGCTCTCAGCTGCAGGCACTCGACAGGCCTGCCCCCTCTCACCCCCAACCCACCATCAGTCTCATACGCAAATGGGATGCCTAAACATGGGATGGTCATCACAGTCCTGGCTGTAGGTCTCTTTGCTGACTTACATTATAGCCCCAGTCCCCAGAGTGATTTGTCTGTTAGTGTTTATGCAGTAGGAGCTGTAAGTGCAAAGACTACATGCTATCCTTAAGGAGGGAGAAACGGAGATGAAAATCAACAGGCTACAATTTATTTATTACTGGGTGACAGGGAACAGTGAGTTAGGTATGGAGCTTACAGTCACTGTCAATGACTGACCAACGCCCAGAGCTGATTTCCATTTTCCAGTAAATGTTGTTTACTTCATTCTGAGTGTTGTTTGTTTTGATTTTGTTGTCCTTTTGGCTTTTGAATATCAATAGCTTTTATGGTGAACACACACGTCTGGACCATTAACTAAATGGACTGTACAAAATCTGCACTTAATTTATCCACAGAGCTGTGCAACAGAGTGCAAAAATCTAATTGACAAGCACATTTAGGCACACCGATGTCAACACTAGTGTAGTCTGTACCTCTACAACCTTTTACATACAGACCAATGGGCTATGACTAACAGAATACTGTTTTGAAGAAGAAAAAGGTTAAGATAGAATATACAGCGCATTCGGAAAGTATTCAGACCCCTTGACTTTTTCCACATTTTGTTACGTTACAGCCTTATTCTAAAATTGATTAAGCTGTTTTTTTCCCCTCATCAATCTACACACAATACCCCATAACGACAAAGAAAAAACAGGTTTTTTTTTTTTTTTTGTTTAACAAATGTATTAACAATAAAAAACGGAAATATTACATTTACATAAGTATTCAGACCCTTTACTCAGTACTTTGTTGAAGCACCTATGGCAGCAATTACAGCTTCAAGTCTTCTTGGGTATGACGCTGTATTTGGGGAGTTTCTCCCATTGTTCTCTGCAGAACCTCTCAAGTTCTGTCAGGTTGGATGTGGAGCATCGCTGCACAGCTATCTCTCCAGAGATGTTCGATCGGGTTCAAATTATGTGGAGCTACTTGTAGCTCTCTAATGCTTTAATCTTTAATCACTCATTCAGATAGAAATAGAATTGTTTCCAAAAATAATTAGCATAGCATGTTTTGCAGTTCCACGCATGTTCAACATACAGCAAGAGATCAATTATCTTTAATCATTTTCAAAGAAAACAACAGACGCTTTTATAGCAACACCTATTTAACTAATTTCTCTGCCTCTGTCCACAGATACACCAAGATGAAGACATCCACCAACATCTACATCTTTAACCTGGCTCTAGCGGATGCCCTAGCCACCAGCACACTCCCCTTCCAGAGCGCCAAGTACCTGATGGGGACCTGGGCGTTCGGAGAGGTCCTCTGTAAGGTGGTCATCGCCATCGACTACTATAACATGTTCACCAGCATCTTCACCCTGACCATGATGTCTGTGGACCGCTACATCGCTGTGTGCCACCCAGGTAAAAGGAGAGAAGCATTCCACATGGCACCCTATTCCCTTTATAGTGCACTACTTTTAACCAGAGCCTAGGGAAGCTCTGGTCAGAAGAAGTGCACTTTATAGGGAATAGGGTGCCATTTGGAATGCAGACTGATCAACTCCTATCCTCTCGCGTAAATAAATGAAAGGGTGCTTAGAGCCAATAATCGACCACATAAAAAATGAAAAAAGGCCAGCACTCTTAACTTAATTTTCTGTGTGTCACCCAGTGAGAGCCCTGGAGTTCAGGACGCCCGCCAAGGGTAAGATCATCAACGTTCTGATCTGGGTTCTGTCCTCTGCCATCGGAGTGCCCATCATGGTCATGGCGGTGACCAAAATGACAGACAGTGGTGAGACAGCAGCGTTAAACTAGCTAGCACGTTTTTTACACTTCTTTCAAAGGATTTCTTGTATAGCCTCACTCATATTGGAGTTTTCGTCATTTGAAACTCAACATGTTTTGGAATTCTTCAGTTGAATTTATGTTTTTTTTAATCCCATTAAATAAGGGGATAAGTACCTCTTCCTGCAAATTTACAGTATATTATATCTTTGGTCAAAATATCAATTATCTCTATAACATAAACCTCCTACAGTCTCCTCTCTAAATATGTTTGACTCCTTTCCTTCTCTCCTTCACCCCTCGCTCCGCCCCTTCACCCCTCGCTCCGCCCCTTCACCCCTTGCTCCGCCCCTTCACCCCTCTCCTCCTAGGTCAGACTATGTGCACGTTGAAGTTCCCCGACCCTGACTGGTACTGGGACACGGTCACTAAGATCTGCGTGTTCATCTTTGCCTTCGTCGTCCCTGTCACGGTCATCACCATCTGCTATGGTCTGATGATACTGCGTCTGCGCAGCGTCCGCCTGCTCTCAGGCTCTAAGGAGAAGGACCGCAACATGCGCCGCATCACCCGCATGGTCCTCGTGATTGTCGCGGCCTTCATCATCTGCTGGACGCCCATCCACATCTTCATCATCATCAAGACCCTGGTGGAGATCGACTCTAGGTAAGTATTTATGTTTTGTGTAGTTTTATTTTCTTGTTGATTTTACTGTGTGCTTTATTGCTTTTTTATTAATCTTGCTGATTTTATTAGGTCAAATTACTTCGAAAAAGGGCGTAAAATGAATTATACATAATTTATGATTATTTATTATTAACAGGAACCCCTACGTGAAAGCCAGCTGGCACCTCTGCATTGCGCTGGGCTACATGAACAGTAGTCTCAACCCCGTTCTCTACGCTTTCCTGGATGAGAACTTCAAGAGGTGCTTCCGGGACTTCTGCCTGCCCTGCCGGACCCGCATGGAACGCAACTCCCTCAACAGGGGTCGGAATGCCAACCGGGAACCCGTGTCCGTCTGCGCTCCGACTATAGCTGGGACGGAAAATAAGCCCGTATGACTAGGCATGGACCAGATCCCTTGTGGTTCTCGATCCAGGAGGGCCCAGCAAGACCTGCAGTCTGAGGTCACCCAGATCTCCACAACAGAGTTCTGACAGGACAAACAATTATTTAGTGAGACTCACACAGAGGTGTCAGTAAAGAGGGTTCCAACACACACCATTTTTTTTTTAGGACCACATCATTGACATTCCTACCAGTGAGATTTACGAACGTTCTTTATTGTTGCTCAGAAGGAGACAGATTCAATGTTTCATCATAAATCGTTTTCGATAAAACTCAAGGACACACATCTCCGTGAAGGTTCTATCCAGAGACAATCTGCGACAGTGCCAGGGATTTTTGAGTAGTGCATTTCTGGTTTGTGACAAATGGATGTCTGGCTGCAGACATAATACACAGGATGTTGTCAAGGACAGCGGTCCAAAAGATGCCACATGGTTTCGTCAACTAGTCATCCTTGTTTGTGACTGATGACAAGCTGCACAAATATGGGACTGGGCTTGTTTTTAAAATAAAGGCAACAGGGTTAGGGAAACCACTGAATGAGTAGATACAGTGCATTCAGAAACTATTCAGACCCCTTGACTTTTTCCACATTTTGTTATGTTACTGCCTTATTCTAAAATGTATTCAATTACAGCCTTGAGTCTTCTTGGGTATGACGCTACAAGCTTGGCACACCTGTATTTGGGGAGTTTCTCCCATTCTTCTCTGCAGATCCTCTCAAGCTCTGTCAGGTTGGATGGGGAGTGCTGCTGCACAGCTATTTTCAGGTCTCTCCAGAGATGTTTGAGTCCAGGCTCTGGCTGGGCCACTCAAGGTTATTCAGAGACTTGTCCCAAAGCAACTCCTGCGTTGTCTTGACTGTGTGCTTAGGGTCGTTGTCCTGTTGGAAGGTGAACCTTCGCCCCAGTCTGAGGTCCTGAGCCCTCTTGAGCAGGTTTTCATCAAGGACCTCTCTGTACTTTGCTCCGTTGATCTTTCCCTCGATCTCTCCCAGTCCCTGCCGCTGAAAAACATCCCCACAGCATGATGCTGCCACCACCATGCTTCACCGTAGGGATGTTGCCAGGTTTCCTACAGACGTGACGCTTGGCATTCAGGCCAAAGAATTCAATCTTGGTTTCATCAGACCAGAGAATTTTGCTTCTCATGGTCTGAGAGTCTTTTAGGTGTCTTTTGGAAACTCCAAGCAGGCTGTCATGTGTATTTTACTGAAGAGAGGCTTCCGTCTGGCCACTCTACCATAAAGGCCTGATTTGGTGGAGTGCTGCAGAGATGGTTGTCCTTCTGGAAGGTTCTCTCATCTCCATAGAGGAACCTTGGAGCTCTGTCAGAGTGACCATCGGGTTCTTGGTCACCTCCCTGACCAAGGCCCTTCTCCCGCTATTGCTCAGTTTGGCCGGGCGGCCAGCTCTAGGAAGAGTCTTGGTGGTTCCAAACATTTTCCATTTAAGAATGATGGAGGCCACTGTGTTGTTGGGGACCTTCAATGCTGCAGACATTTTTGGTACCCTTCCCCAGATCTGTGCCTCGACACAATCCTGTCTCTGAGCTCTACGGATGATTCCTTCGACCTCATGGCTTGGTTTTTGCTCTGACATGCACTGTCAACTGTGGGACCTTATATAGACAGGTGTGTGCCTTTCCAAATCATGTCCAATCAATTGAATTTACCACAGGTGGACTCCAATCAAGTTGTAGAATCATCTCAAGGATCATCAATGGAAACAGGATGTACTTGAGCTCAATTTCGAGTCTCATAGCAAAGGGTCTGAATACTTATGTAAATAATGTATTTTTGTTTTACATTTTTTATATATTTGCAAAAATATCTAAAAACCTGTTTTTGCTTTGTCATTATGGGGTATTGTGTATAGATTGATGAGGGGAAAAAATAATTTCATCCATTTTAGAAAAAGGCTGTAACGTAACAAAATGCACTGTATGTTGACATCTGAAATATGGACATATGGCCCAGAAGGGGGTGGAGAAAACACCCAACACAGTTCAGTTAAAATGACAGTTGTTACAGCTAACGGACTTGGCAAAGATTCCAAATGCTAAGCAGTGGTCCATTTGTATCTCATGTACCAGAGACTGCATCATATATCTTGAAGCAGTGTGAATAGAAAAGGACAGACTGTAGTTTGGGTACAGTACACTGCGTGTGTGACGTCAATGCTCCTCCAGGACACAGTTGCCTTGTGCTTTGACAAACTGAGAAAGTGGAGAAGCATTGATGTCCAATCTTTGTTGATCTTCTTTCTATTACCTGGGAAGCAAGCACCTGTAAACTAACATTGATGAGGAACTTCAAAGATTGCTGACGCATATTCTAACCATCACACCTGACTCCACTTTCAGGGAGTCTAAAAAAGATCTAACATGAAAAACAAAACATTATTTCCACTTTCCATCTACTTCAAAACAAAAGGCAAAACAAATACATTTCATGCGCTACGGAGGAAGAAGAAACTACAGATCCTTTTTGACAGGTTGGATGATGGATGAAAGCATACTTTAGTGCAAAGCATTAGGGCACAAGACACTGAAACAAAATGGGAAAATAGGGCTGATAGCTATGTGACTCTGCAGGCAACATTATTTTTTATACTATATAAACAAAAGCATTGTTTCGAGAATTCCTTATAGACTGACAATACGCTCCGACACCGCCGTTGTTGTCAAAGCAAGATAATGTTAGAACACTATTTTGTATTTTATGACATTCGCAACATGGAACATTTCTACATGGAAATCTACCACAGAGCTCTGTACCTGCCTGTGCCCTACTGCTGAGAATCCAGGAGGGTTCAAACTACTGTACCATAGCGTTTCCTTTCCACCGACACCTTGGCTGTTGGCTCCAAGCCTACTTTCATGGGTAGGTTTTATCGGTCGGAGCAGAGAGGTAGATGGGACCACTGAAAGGAATAACTAAACAATCATAGTCCACTGACTGAGGGTGGAGGAGCAGACGGAAGACGCTGGGGCTGCACAGTCCAATCTAGATCTACACTCACTGTGTGAATGCATTACTACTCTGAACAACAACACCAGAACGCCCACTGTGGACAGCTAAATAACTTTAAAACTGACAAGCCGGAAGAGTATGGCGGCTTGTGAGACCGAGACCACAAACCTCTTGAGAATCACTGAGCATTTATATAGCTGAACCAAGTAAGGTTTGAATAGGACTCACTATCTGTGTTACTGTGTAATTGGAGAAAAACATTGTGTCATCTGTCAAATTAAATCTATGGCATATTAAACTATGCTTAACTAAGGATGCATTGAAAAGGTACCCTATTCCCTATATAGTGCACATCTTTTGAACATACAGTAGGTCCATAGGGCTCTGGTCGAAAGTACACTCTTAGAAAAGAAGGTGCTATTTAGAACCTAAAAGGGTTCTTCTATGGGGACAGCCAAATAACCCTTTTAGAACCCTTTTTTCTATAGGGAATAGGGTGCCATTTCGGATGCAGCCTCTATGTTACTGTGTAATTGGAGAGAAACATTGTGTCATCTGTCTACATAAATATATGGCAGATTATAGAGTCTTAACAATGGCATTAAGTCATGATAAAATTCCTAAAATAGATGATCACAGCGCTCAACTTTACGTTGAGGGCGTCAATCAATGACAGCCATTAAGATGAAAATTACCATTCTTATGTCATAGGCTATAATTTGAGTTTATTATAGGGTATACATTCTCCTGGTGACCTTGCAAAAAATCAATGCTGATGAAATATCCAGCCTATAAATCCTGCCATAGATTGCATTCCACATGGCACCCTATTCCCTATATAGTGCACTACATTTGACCAAGTAGTGCACTATGTAGGGAATAGGGTACCATTTCAGATGCAGCTATAGATTTGACTGACCTTGGACACGATGCTATGTCACGAACCACTGTGACAACCCCCAAAATCATTTTGCATAATGATACTAACTAGCACAGACTAAAGAAGAAAATATAATATAATTGCTTATTTCGATGTCAGTTTACAGATGTAGGATCTTAATTTGATCACTCTTTTGTGCTGGAAATGTTCCTGCACAGCAGGAAATGCAAACTTGTAGAGTATTTGAGTTTTAAAAAGGCTTCCTAAAGTTTATAAATTCCAATTTCAAATTTCAAACTTCATTTGGCCTGACGAAAAATGAATCAACCCCTACAAAAATGTCCATTAATTATAATTCACATAATTCACATTTCAGTTCTAAACTAAAATCACTTAACGTGACTTTGTAGATGTAGATATTCTCAGAACTCCTACATATTACACTGAGTATACAAAACATTAAGAACACCTGCTCTTTCAATGACATAGACTGACCAGATGAATCCAGGTGAAAGCTATGATCCCTTATTGATGTCACTTGTTAAATCCACTTCAATCAGCGTAGATGAAGGGGAGGAGAAAGGTTAAAGATGGATTTTTAAGCCTTGAGACAACTGAGACATGGATTGTGTATGTGTGCCATTCAGAGGGTGAATGGGCAAGACAAAATATTTAAGTGCCTTTGAATGGGGTATGTGCCAGGCACACCGGTTTGTGTCAAGAATTGCAATGCTGCTGGGGTTTTCACGCTCAACAGTTTCCTGTGTGTATCAAAATGGTCCACCAACCAAAGGACATCCAGCCAACGTAACAACTGTGGGAAGCACTGGAGTCAACATGGGCCAGCATCCCTTTGGAACGCTTTCGACACCTTTTAGAGAAGAATTGAGTCTGTTCTGAGGACAAAAGTTCGCTAACTTTTTCAGTTATAGGTGAAACAACTGGTGTATGTGATTCTTTATGCTTTCATCATGATGACTATCTCTCTATTTTCATAGTGATATTTGATCACATACTCTACTGCTGAGGCTAGAAATATAAAAATATAAAAATATATGAAAGAAACTGATTCAGTCCGACTTAAATTGTAAAAATGTCATTATAAACTGAGATTATTTTATTCCTGGTCTTATTTGCAG